AGAACAGGAAGATAGAAGTCATGGCATCTTTGCCGGTTGCCTATCATGAGGTGATGGTGGAGAAGAGGCTCGATGATGTGACGGGATAGGTGATGGCTCTCATTGTAGAGGTGTATAGTCGGGTCGATCATGTGATGGCTCTGGTGAGGTGATGGCTCTCGAAGTGGAGGCTGCTCATCATTCGTGCCATCAAAAAAACGCTGACTAGCTTGCCACCAATCAGTGGCAAGCTCAGCCTCCGTGGGTGTCAGTCTCTGTAATGGAGTGTTGTCCTCCTAAAAATATAAAAACTCAAACAAAGTTAAACGTCTACTATTAATAACTTGTTTATATATGATAGTATTTGTGTTAACTTACATTATTTATTGTCACATATGGTATTAAGTCTTCCCAATCCAACAGACGTTTCCTCTTACAGGAAATAGCCCTAGGAATATCATTTGAAGTTTTTAATGCAAATGTCCGCATGCTGGGGAAAGCCTCGAATATCCAAATCTACAAACAATATAATAACAAACATTAGTAATTGTTAAATAATTAATTATAATTTTGAAAACATTATATAGAAATTTTTACCTTAAAGGCCCAAACAAAGCATGACAAAGTGTATTTCGACCCATCGCCACGCAAACTTTTGCGGTCATCAAAGGTAGACGACAACTTAGTCCAGGTAGCTTTCCATATATACGAACCCCACGGAAACAGATTCCATGCATTTAGGTCCTCTACCAATAATATTAGCTCATGAGGAATAGGTTGTCTGGCCTCTCTGCCTAAAAAGCCGGCATACAAAAGTACTAGAAGGCATACTCGGACAACATCAACGTCATTCATTCGAGTAAAACCATCTTTCTTATAAAACAATTTCTTCAGGTCGTCGACGTGTAAGTTCGGCTTCTCTATTGACTCATCAGGAAAAACCCGGGATAATCATGATGGGCGGGTGCTATGACGAGTGTACCGGCCTACATCATCGTGTCCGAATCGTAGACCAGTGATTAAGCAGAACTCCTTCCGCCCAAAACAAGTATACGCCGGTGGAAAATGAAACCATATCTCTTCCTCACCACGTTGTATACTGTCGGGTAGATCGCTAGTCAGAGTCTGAAGCCACAAATGGGTCAAATTAGCATCTCCACCCGGATGTTGTACTCTCAGCCATGGCCCGAAGTAGGTTTCCTCAAACAATTTTCTTTGTGCAGGTGAAAGTTTCGAAGCAATTGTAGTGGCTAGGCTAACTTTATTCCTTAATGTCAATGAAGCCGAAAAAAATTTCTACAAAAACAATAAACATACCAAGTTAGATATACCAAAAACTACACTGTGAAGATATACCAAAAACAATAAACATAAAGAGTAGTAGTTTATTCTTGAAACTAAAATTTGCAACACTGTTTTGTCTTTTGGTTGAAATGAAAATCGCAACGAGAGAATGACTATCGCAACGCGGAAATGACTATCGCAACGAGAGAATCGCAACGCGAAATGAAAATCGCAACGAAAGAATCGCAACGCGAAATTAAAATCGCATGAAAATCTCAATGCGATTTTGGTTTCGCGTTGCGATTTTCATTTCTCTCGTTGCGATAGTCATTTTCGTGTTGCGATTTTCATTTTCATGTTGCGATTTTAAGTTTAGAAACTATTCTTCTTCTGTAAATTGAAACTTTAATGGATTGCATTACTTCAACCAAAAGATAAAACAAAGACAAATACTAACTTCACAGGGTTAAAGACTAAACAGTTTAGCAGTATTGACAGCAATTTAATGAATTTAATAAGAAATATAAGTGAAATGATTAATCTATTATTGAAATTACCAGTAAACTTATCATCAATTTCAATATGAAAAACCTAAAATAATGCAAAAATTTCAAAATAAAAATAATTAAAAAAACTAACCCTAGGAGGTTGATTTTCCATTTCTGAATGATTGTGAGGGATTTCTGACCGTGAATGGTTGTGAGGGATTTCGCCGGAGATGGGGACGGAAATCTTCGGAGATGGGGATGGATTTCGCCGTAGAGAGTGAGAGATGGAGATGAGACTGAGTTGTGATTTTAGGTTTTAGGTTATGAGTTGCGATTACGGGATATACTGTGGACGGTTCAATGTTCCGATAATTAATATTCGTGTTTGAAATTTGAAAATAAAATACGCGTAGCGATTGTAATGGCGCTTTAAAAATCGCGTTGCGATTTACGGATACGCGTTGCGATTTTACGTATTGTCGTTGCGATTTATGGATACGCATTGCAATTTACGTATTCTCGTTGCGATTTACAGATACACGTTGCGATTTACGTATTCTCGTTGCGATTTACGGATAGGTGTTGCGATTTACGTATTCTCGTTGCGATTTACGGATACGCATTGCGATTTTACGTATTGTCGTTGCGATTTACGGATACACGTTGAGATTTTACGGATACTCGTTGCGATAGTTAGAATCGCGTTGCATTTATATGTTCGCGTTGCGATTTTCATATTCGCGTTGCGATTCTGGAAAATCGCAATGCGAATTTGTACTATCGCATTGCGATTATGGGAACTGATTTGCGATTCTGGAGATCGCGTTGCGATTTTTATTTCGCATTGCGATTTTGTTGGTCATTTTGGCAAATCCAAAAAAAGTTGGTTAAAATCGTATATTATAAGGCATTTTTTATCACTGAGGCGATTAATCTATAGATCATTTGTGTCCTTTATCCTTAATCTTTTGATCATTTAACTATTTAAATAATGTTAAACAAGTATTATATTGTTATCATTTAATGGAGGAATTGATATAAGTGATTTAAATAATATTATTTAAATAATTAAATGATTCAATTAATAAAATTAAAATATCGATAATTATATTAAAATCTCCGTAATGATCAGGGATGTAGCTTGTACGTTTTTTTTTTTCTTTTGATTGACCTAATATAAAAAAAATGTTCAAATTATACATCATTTTTCATTTAAGTGCTTAAATTTTTTTCGATTAATATAAGTGTCTAACGTTACAAAAATTATATTTTAATTGCCTACATCGTAACAAATGTAGAAAATCTGTTAAAAATCCATCAACCAACCAGTGTTTGACACATAAATTATTATTTTTTGTTTCCTTTAATATTTTTTTAAAATAAAATTTATACATTAGAAAAAAACATCTTAACTTTTCTATATTACATAAGATATCCCACGATTCATAATACCCTAATTCAAAAATCTCTAAACCCTAATTTTCTGTTTCGCCTGCGGCAAAGGGGTGACTGGTCAGGGACTATCCATTTGCAGAGAAAGAAGACGGTGAACCAATGCATTTTCCGGGTCATAAAGAAATGCTCAGATTTCTTGAGGATCTTGCTCGGGACTTTGGACTGATGGAGTTGATTCGTCTAGGGCATGAAGTGATTTGGGTGGAGGTAGTCGATGATGTGAGTCACGAATGGGTTGTCGAGTCTAGGAAAAACAGATTCAAAATGGGAATCGAAAGAGGAAGTTTTTGAGGCTGTAGTCATTTGCAACAGTAAACAAAAAAAGCCAAAAGTTGCAGAATTTTCAGGTACTTCATAGATGCCAATTGAAAACTTGCCTCCCGAAGATTATTCACTCACGGTAAAGTCTCCATCAATTCCGACGTCGCTGATTTAGTCGGGTATAGATTTTGGGAAACTCGTCGACTGAAGAACTCTCCATCACTGCTTTCTTCACCGAAAATGACTCCGGTCAACCAAATATCAATACGGGATTGAATTAGAGATTTCAGAAGTTTGAGATTTTTTTTTGTAATTTGGGATTTTTTTTGAAAATAAAGTATTTTTAATTTTTATTAAAAAATAAAAATTTCAAAAAATTTATTGGCGCAACACATGTCAGATAAGAGATATTTTTAACGATCGTTGTTATAGACACTTCAAATATAACTTCTATAAAATTAGACATTTATGTTGACAAAAAAAAATTTCAATATCTAAATGAGAAAAATATGTATAGTTTGAACATTTTTTTATAATTAAGCCTTCTGATTTCCTTTCCTTACCAACTCTTCATGTATTTTTCAGATGTGATATATGTATATATATATCATATAAAATTAAAAGATTCGACTCAAATTTGAAAATCAATCTACTAATTGTTAAAAATTTTGAGTTATTCAAGTTGTATTTTATAACTCGATTTAATCTTGAATTTTTTTTTGAATCAAGTCAAATTTATGAAATTACAACTTAAAGTCATCTCGAGTCGAATTCTTCCAAGTCGAGTTGAAAAATCAATTTTTGAAATTGAGTCAGGTATGCCATAATTTTTAAGACTGCTAATTATTATTTATGCAAAGTACTATATCACAGAACACATTATTGTTGTTCTGATGCGAAATTCTAAACAAAAAAACTTAATTTAAGATTAAAAAATAGTAAAAATCAACGCGACAAAAATATTATAAAAACATAACATTTTAATTTAGACGCAATCTAAAATGTTAGGTTACTCATAACATTTTTATTACAACCTAAAATATTACGAATAATATAACATTTTTTATTATAATCTAAAGTATTATGAAGAATATAATATTTTTTTATTGTAAGCCGAAAATTCAACCGAAAATGTTATGAAAAAATATAACATTTTAAGTTCAACCGAAAATATTAAGAGAAAATAACATTTTAAGTTCGTCCAACCTAAAATGTTATGCTTTTTGATAACATTTTCGGTCGCGTATATTTTAGTCGGTTTTTAGCCTTAAATTATTGGGTTATACCGCACAACTACCCTTGTTCTAATACCAGTATGTACCGGTATTGATGCAATTCCGCGTATTGTTTCAAGATCTACCGATACGAAAATATTCTAATATCGTCACCATATACCTAACAAATATTTAAGAACTCCAAATTTTCATCAAATATTTCTCTTCCTGCACGTGAAAAACCCAGAAACAAAGTAACTGCTGGGGATTATATATGCAGAATCCCTTCCAGTACGCACAACAGGCAAGACACGGTCTACGAAAGTCATCTTAGCTGCATTTCATTCGACCCACTTATGGCTAACAATAGAATAAGTACAAACTTACAACCATACCTCGAATATCTCGATTAACAGCTGTTTAAAGAAGCTTCCACTAAGCCTCTGTTGTCTGAAACAACATCTCAACTTCTGTTATGGTGCTACGAGCATCTTCGAAATCTGGACCTTCCTTCTCGTTTCCTTCCTCCAGTTCAGCCTGGAATTAAATATGTAACTCATCAAACTTACTTGTTTACTTGATCGTCCATTAGATAAATATAGGTATCTATATAGGAAATTAGGAAATCCAAAAGCAACCAAGTACAACAATGATTATAACCCAAAAATCCCATAATAAAGAAACACTTCAAATCTCTCTTCCAATTTAGTGCAAAAGTATTTGGGAGGTCAGTCATCAATCAATAAGAAGACTTGGCTCTAATTATCTTACTAGCACAAAAATTTAACCAAGTTCATCTAAAATCACCATACAATTAGGAGTTAACTTCCTTGACAAAATTACGATCAATTTGTTATCACTTATTAGACTGCAGCTTTCTAGGGGAGCAGAAGGTTTAGGGCAAGCCCTAAAGAACAGCTATGGGGACATATCTTAGTAAGAACTGAAAACTATTTCAACAATGGAGTAGCAAAGCATGTTTCATCCCCCAGACCATCTAGCCTTTGGTGCAAAAACAATCTCCAACACTGAAACAGAACAAATGAAACTGGGAATTGAATATCATTTTCCAAACTCAACTTTTACACCAAAATCAGTCAGGAAAAAATTGTTGATTAATATTATTAAAACCAGAAGGTTGTAATCTATGGGACTTTGATAGAACAAACAATGAAAAAGAATCATATCACAGCTCAAATAACAGTGAATTAATCGCAAACACAATAACATTAAAAATTGCTTCTGAACTAAGCAAGAGAGAATCATAATAATAGTAATTAATAACTAATGAACAATACCAAAGTCCCTTTAAGGTCAGCTAGTGAAGCCTCTAGCCGCTTGCGGCAATCGGGGATCATCATCCTTGATTCAGCCAGAACATTTTCCTGTCGCAGCAGGTAAGAGTTCATATAATGGAAATGGACTTATTTTATAAAAGAAGAAACTTTCCTGTTGTTCGTATAAATTCATCATAGAACATTCTCCAGTGTATGGCTGTTTTCACAAAATCTGCATTGGTATAAAAAACACTGATCCCTAAACTTACACTTAGGGATCAATCTTTTTAGCTAAGCTAATCTTTTAAAAGGAAAAGTAGAATTCTTTACTCATTTACCAAACTCAGGGATGGATCGAAGGGGCAGTCGCTCTGAAATTTTCAAATTCTCGTGTATTTTATATATTTTCTTTGTATTTTCTATTGATAATCTATTTTTACCCCCAAAATTTTATGAGTTCTCTTTCCCTAGCATCAAATCCTAGGTCAGTCCAAACTAATTTTATACCAAACTAACACTAGAAAATGGGAAAAAAAACATTTTCCCACTAAACAAATAGATCTAACATATATACTCTTTTTACACCTTACTAATGAAATATAAAATGAGATTTCAAAAACGGGTCTTCTCAATAACCGCAGCAGTAAAGGCTGCAGCTATTGGAAGCGGTAACAATACCTGTTGCTTGAGGTCGTAAGGATCAGCTCCTTTCTCTTTCATGTCAGCTGTTTTTGCAGCTTCTCTATCGACCTCTTTCTCATAAGAGTGCAGCTCTTTGACAATTCGTTTGCAACTTGATGTCTTGATTTTCAGATTTCTAACAGTTGCCATGCCCAAATCTGTAAAAAATGATTATATTCATCAGGTTCAATAAATAGTATACTGATTACCCAGCAGCCCACATTTGTAGTCTCAATTTTACTTATCAGCTTCCTTGCATTTTACCGGAATACAAACAGATTATTTTGGGATTTTCCGGGGAATATCATTTGAGGAAGCGGCAAAATTGTAATTAATTATTTTGATGTTTGAAGAGTTGGATTTGAGATAAATGAAACAGAATAAAGCGAAACGTACCTTCGGAAATGAGAGACGGATCTGAAGGCGAGAGGACTGAGGATTTTGGAGGTGAAAGGAAGCTTCAACAAGTAAAAAGAAGGCCGAAATCGAGAGAATCTACAATTGAAATAATAGTTTAGTAAACTACACTATTAGTCACCAATCTATTATATTTTTCTTATTTTGGTCATCACCCACCTTAACAAATTAACGATGATGATATGAATTTATTCTTTATCTTTTTATTTTCCATGTCATTTTTCTCTCTCTTTATCGTTGGTCTACATATCATTTCCCTTTAACTTTCATGATACTCAGATTGTAAATTTATGTAGTGTTGAAGAAGATGAGAGTTCATATAGTCATCAAATAAAATAACATGTGATTGATCAAATCGAAATATGATTCTCTTATATTTCATCAATCTTATTCCTACCAAAAGTTTCTTGAACATTGCTTGTATACTTTAGGTTCTATGTTCTTATTAGATAATTAGTTTGATCAATTTGCATGAGTTATTCTTTTTGCATTTGGATGCTCTAGCTCCTTGTGCTATAAGAAATACCAAGATTTATGTTGAGACAAGTAAACCCGAGAGAAGTAACAAAAGAGAGAAGAGTAGTTATGATCTTACGAGTTTTAGGAGAGATGTCAAAAGCATCGTAAAACTTAGTAATCTACTCCCTTAGGACTGATAATTAAAGGAGCAATTGTTCAAGTGAAAGGGTGGTCTTATGAAAATCTACTTAAGAGATGTTGTAACGTCCTCAAAATGGGTCTGAAAATCTACTTAAGGGATTTGATATGTAACAAACCAATTCTAAGGACCAAAATCTACTTAAGCAATTTTCACACCCCAAATTTTAATTTAATTTATAGTTAACTAATTCTAAGGACCAAAATGTTTTTATAAAATACATGGGGTCATTTTGGAAACTTTTTTGTTAATTTAGGAACCTAAACTTGAATTTAACCATTCTTCTTTAGCTACATAAATAATAATAATAATATAAGGTTCAAGGGACTTTGAATCCACGTCCCATAACAAAGCTCAACCATGCCTCTACCATTAGGTTAAGATACTATTTATGAAATAAAATATTAAAAATATCTTTTAAACCTCTTTAACTCATATTTGTTTTGAAAGAACCCCAAAATCAAATTCGCATAGGAGAATAAGCCAAACACCAAAATCCTTTAATCATCACTATTGAAGCCCCAATTGGCCATCGTCTGGTCAACCGTGTCATGCACCGTCATCATCGGAGTGATCATCGTCCACCCGCGATCAAAACTCAATTGACCACACTCCGAGAAGCCCCGCCCGTTCACCGTAGAAGTCTCCTCGAATGTTCGTCGAAAAATTATAGTTTGTCTCTTGTTTTTCCGTTGATTCATCGTCGTCCAGCCACCGGTGAGTCTCACCGCTTGCATCAAGTGAACCAGCTCGTTGTTTCGCTTCTCCGAGTGTTGATGGTGTGGTCGTTGATACCGCCATTGAAAGGGGTGAAGTGCGACAAGTTTTGATCATCTTAGAAAGTATCCCTTTGTCCTTCATCGCCTTAAAACAACACATGCACGAGACTCTTGATCAACTGATCTTCAAATCTGGAAATTTAGATTTCGATTCGACGATCGAAGCCACCGCACATGCCGCCCCCTACGCATGGGCGTTGTATGTCAGCGAGGGGAATCTGCTGAACCAGTTGGACTGGTCTAGATCAAGCTGCGCCTGAGTCGATTCGTGCCTGAGTTTAGGGTTGTTCATTCGGTTAATTCGGTGGCCGAACCGACCGAACTACTATTAACCGAATTAACTGAACTTTTTTTCAAAAATATTAACCGAACCGAATAAATTTCGATTAATTCAGTTAATTTTCGAATTAACCGAAATTTTTTAAAATTTTCTAATTTATATAAAAATTAAATATTTTATAATTAAAAAAAATAGTTTATAATTAATTTAAATAATATATAATTATAAAATAAAAAATTTATATAAATGTTTTAATTAATTAATATTGATTTAGGTTTAAAAGTTATTGGATCTTAAATTATTAATTGGGTTTTAAATGATTTGGGCTGAGCCTATATGTTATATATAATATATTTAATATTTTTTAATTCAAAAAAAAAATAGTTTACAATTAATTTAAATAATATATAATTATAAAATAAAAATTTTATATAATTTTTTAATTAATTAATATTGATTTAGGTTTAAAAATTGGCATTTTTCCCGAAAAATCACCGGTGACCGGTATATTTACCGATCTAACACCGGTCATACTATATTTCCCGATCTAACACCCTTTGCAGTAAAGCGCGCCCCTGCACCGCACTATATGCTGATTTGGCGTCACGTGGGGTAAGGCACGCCCCCTGCACCGCGCTATATGCTGACATGGGATACACGTGGGTATAGCGCGGGGCAGGGGCCGCGCCATACCTTTAACTGATATAATTATATAAGGCGCGGTGCAGGTACCGCGCCTTGTATAATTATAGCATTTTTTCTCGGCTATAAATACCTTTCTCCCCCGGTTAAGTTCCTCTCATCTCCTCACATCTCTCCTCTCAACTTATAAATTAATACAACAATTCCGTCAACGAGTCAATAATTCTGACAATTTTCTCATATTTGATTTAAAAGTTCGTGTGATTTTTCGTTATAAGGTAATTTTGTTATAATTATTTTTATTATACTTATTGTTTATTATAATTATTTGAAAAAATATATTACTAATTATTTTCAATTAATTTTTGTGTTTATAAAATTGGAAAGCGGGAGCATACGTCGAAATAGTTTTACGGTGCAGGTAATAATATAAAATTATATTATTTAAGTTATTTACGTTGATGTGTAAAAAATTTATTGTGTTATATTTTCGTTCATATATTATTTATTTAATTAGGTTTGTTTCAATTATTTTTTTGCAGATATAATATTGCCGCACTTTTAAACTCAAATAATGGCGCGACTTTCAGCTATTGTTTATTATGATGGTAAAATTCGAGAAGATGAAACCAGAGTTGTTTTCGTATCAAATGAGCGTGTTAAAATATCATTCAAGAGAAACATAACTCTTGAGGAGCTGATAACGAAGATTTCGAGGAAGATTTCGAGGAAGATTCATGTTGGAAGTAGTAGAAGAATGTCGTCGTTGCAGTACAGATTTCTAATATCATTGTTGCCATTAACTTATACATCGTTCGAACTTTCGAACAATGATGATGTTGAAATGATGGTTGAAGCTCAAAGTAATTATTCAGACGCCGATATTGATATGTATGCACATTTTGTTCAAGTGCGTGTTATTCGGGGTCAATCATTAAGCTCCCACTATGGGCTGGTTGAATAAGTTGACAGCTCGACTACAGTAATGTGTAATGATTTTAATGCCATAATGGGGAGACATTCATCCTCAAATCCTTACGATATGTACCAAGGTGGGTCCATGAACAATCTGTATGGCAATATCGCGTCCAGTTCAAGGGGAAGGCATTCATCTACAAATTTCTTTGACCATATGGAGATGCCATCGACGCAACCATCTATGCAGTTTCCATTTGACACGATGGCTTCAAGCTCCAGGGGGAAGCATTCAACTGCGAGCTTTTTCGATCTCAATGTCGATATGCCTTCTAGTTCAAGGGGAAGGCGTGCAAGTAGTAGGTTCTTCGAACTAAATATGGAGCGCATGGGGGAACCATCATCTCCACCAGAAGAACCGCTTCGTGAGCCTGGTACGGATGGTGCTGAGACTGGACTATTCATTCACCCAGAATCACCGTAATTCAACTCCGATGATGATGAAGTTCCAGGAAATGTGGCATAAACTGACCCTCCTGCACACATGTATGAAGCTGATTATGGTGCAATGTACGAGCCAAAATTTGTAGATATGCCTCATCTCGGTGACTATGGATATTTCTCATCAATAAATAATGGTGAGTTATCTTTAGGCATGGAGTTTTCAAGTAAAGAAGAAGCGGTGATGGCTATAAAAAATTACAATATCCGTAATTCTGTTCAGTCCATAGTCAACCGATCCACGACCGAAAAATATGTATGCTATTGTGCCCGACGCGAAAACGGATGCAATTGGATGGTTCGCGTATCAAAAATGAAGAGGAAAAATAACATATGGGAACTAACAGTATACAATGGTCCTCACACATGTTGTGCTGTAGGGGTCAACCAAGATCATCCCAACTTGGACTCTGAAATGATATGCCAAGCCATCATGCCCATGGTAAAAAAAAGCTCTCATATAGCTGTTGCAGTGTTGATTTCAGCTATACAATCGCAGTATGAGTACACTGTCTCCTATAAAAATTCTTGATTGGCAAAACAAAATGCCATTGTCAAACTTCATGGCGAATGGGATGCATCTTACAACGAACTTCCAGGTTGGTTTAGGCTGTTGCGGACGTTGAATCCTGGGAAAATTGTGGACTTCGAAACCTCCTATGCATACCATAATGATCGAGTTCTTCGCGATCGATGTCAATTCTACCGGGTTTTTTGGAGTTACCCACAGTGCGTTAATGTTGTCAAATATTGCAAGCCTGTGTTCCAGATCGATGGGACTTTCTTGTATGGAAAATACAAGCAAGTTTTATTATTGGCAGTTGTCCAAGATGGTAATCGTAACATTCTTCCAATTACTTTTGTTCTTGTCGAAGGAGAAGATACAAATTCTTGGGCTTTTTTCCTTCGAAATTTACGTGCACATGTTATCACGAGGAAAAACATCTGTGTCATTTCAGATCGTGGAGCTGTGATCAAAGCAGCAATGGAGTCTTTGGGTCTAATGTGGCAACCACCCTTTGTCCAACATAGGTATTGTCTCCGACACATTGCTGCGAACTACCATGGATGGTACAAGAAGAATGATGAGCGTCAATTAATTGTGCGTATGGGTAAGTAAAACTGATGTAGTTTGTTTTCTTTCGATCGTTTTAATTTTACAAAGAAAACAAGTTAGTAAGTTATACATTTTTTGATTAGGTTATGAACTACTTCCTCGAACGTTTGAATCAATGATTCAAGATTTACGGGCGAAGAATGAGGAAGGATACGATTACATCAGCCTCATCGATAAAGAAATGTGGATGAACGCATATGATGGTGG